ATGTTCGCCTTCTCGACGTGGAGTATTAGTACCATTCACAAAGAAAGTCTTTCTGTTGAAATGAGGAATGAACGATAATGATTAAGTCGTCAATAAAAGTGTGTATTTCTTACTTAAAATGATTGTCTGTGAAAAGTGCTGGTGCAATAAAATCGGCCATATGTTTTGTAATTTTGAATCCATCTTCGCAGACTTTGATGGCTGGTTTAATCAGCGATTTCCATGGCATAGAACCGAATTTCTCATGTAATTCCCAATATCCTCTTACTTCGCCAGGAACTCCAATACTCAATGGGCTGTGTTGGTATTCTTCGTATGTTTTGAACATATCTCCGGTTGCGGCTAGCGGTGCCGTTTCTTTGGAATTCAATGAATACGACTTTCTGTCTTTGTGTATGTAGAGGTTTATGACAGAACCACCGCCAATTCCCATACTTTGAGCGGTTGCAATGCCGTTACAGAACAATGTAGCAATGGCCGCATCAACGACATTTCCACCTTGATCGAATATGTCACTGGGTGAGCAAGAACACGACCAATTAAAATTGATGTCATGAAGATGAAACTTCACACTGTTACAAACCTGCCTATTTTACTGCATTGTTCCGAATCCGAGCAAACGGCACCGTTTTTAAACTGATGCAATATTGAAGCGGACGGAGGCAATGGATACTCGGGATTTGGAATGAATTTCTTCGTTTCGCCTTCATCGCCAGTGGCGTGTTGCAAGTAATTTACAAATTTTTGTACATACAAATACGAAACCAACAACACAACTAGAAATATTACGATTAAAAAGAATTTATATGTCGGAGGTAATATTTTCCACCATTGAACGCATGATCTGAAACGAGAAAAATGTGAATAATTTTGATGCCTCTGGTGCGATGTCCAAACACAGTTTCTAATATTGCTTACATAGCATAACAAAATCTTAGACTTTTTTTAATATTTTGAATGGTTTGTTTGATTATGTCGCACGTGCTATGAGTGCCCTTCTTCAAGTCACTTGGTTTTTTATTGGATGAAACGCCATTCAAATGTTTTCTCAGTCTTAACATTTGGGACAATTGATTGAAAATGCCAATGGATTCGACTTAAATACTAAAGTATTCTAATTGAAATTTATTTACAAAACCATTTCAAAACTTTTTTTTCCAAATCAAAACATAGCTTGTTTACTATTTCAACGTGTAAGTATCTAATTTGACACATGTACAGATGGTGTGTGCGGTGTTTCTTCAACAATATTAATCTATTGATTATATAGTTGTGATCATGCGCACTTTCTATTTCATTTAATTTGGGGTAAAGGTGAATTTCAAAACAATGTTAACCGTTAATATGTTGCCACATTATTTGCTTCGACAGCTGAAATTCATTCATTGTCATTTAGTTTGAGAACAGTGTATATATTCTGATGAACAATTATTCAAATTCATTTTTCGGCTGAATTAATCGAATCATTCAGACGTTTGACAATCAAAGACAAACCGAGACACCATAAATTTTATTGTGTCTTTGACTTCGGGGTTTTTTCTTGTTTCTTATGAACAATCAATTTGAATTTTTAACCGATTTACTTTGTTGTTGTTTTTTTAGATAGAACTTTGAACGCCGTTGTCACGAATGCGGTCTTCACACATTTAATATATTAATTAATTCGTCATTTTTTCACACTATTTTTTTGATATAATTGAATCAATGCTATTTTTGTACAAAATTTATATCAAAATGCAATAATAATTATTGTTTAATTGATTGATAATTATTTTAAAAAAAAACATTTTCTTATCGCCTGAGAAATATTGCTATAGGGTGCTCTACAAAAAGACATTATTGAATCATTTTTATGTTGAAATGCGTTTCGCGTTGAAGAACTAAATGGTATTCAGCACCTTTATCGGTCGTTTCTCGCTCATTTTCGGGCCGAATTGCTCGCCTCAATGGTTTTTACTATAAAATATCGAGTAATTTTCCGCTCAGAGTTATAAAAACAATAAGCGTCTCGCAACTTTTCTATGTCACCTGATAAATTTCGTCTTCGTTTATGATTATTTTTTTTATATACTTATCGCTTATTAAGATGACACCTACTAAATATGTTCGCGTGAATGTAAAGTGATACTGACTTGTTTGATTGCTATTAACAAAAAAAACTACATGGTAATTCACGTTGTCTCGACTGATGATAATTAATGAGCTCACGGTAATCATTCGTAATGGATATAAATGAATGGATCACTTTAAATGAACTTAAGTATTATATACACACAACTGGAATATCGTTAATTTTAGATACCATGAAATTGAGTGATATGAAAACTATTTTCGCTAGATTTTAATTGATTTCTTTGCATGATCTACCTTCGATGTTTTTTGCGTCCAGTTTTCATAAGATCGGTTGGTAAAGGAGTTTCTGCCGGCGGATTCAAATCAATTTGTGCGGTTGCCATAATTGTGTTCACGTGCTTTGTATCGTCCACTCACTATATTTAACAGACAAAAGAAAAAGAAAAGACAAAAAAAAAACAGGTTGTATGCACTCATTATCGACTCTCAATGTCTTCGACAAATTATCAAAAATGTATATTAATTTATAAGTGTCTGTATAGTGTATATATTCTATGTGCTGGTTTCTCACTGAAAATATTTTGGACATTAATATGAAAAAGTTTATTCATTTCCAAACAATGTCCAATTCACCTATTGCATATGAATTAAACACACACTTTTTTCACTGAACAAATTTAACAAAGAAAAGGATGTGTAAATTGTTTCGATATGAAAACACATTTTAAAAAACTTAAGGTTTAGATTTGTATGTTAGTCATTCTACATTTCAAATTAAGAACAAAATGACTTACAATTTCAATTAAAACTAAATGTAAAAAATGCTGAAAATTGAGAAAACACTTGAACTCTGTTTAAGAAGAAAGCACACTGTTAGCACATCGGTAATCATCCAAGAAAAAAATACGCAGTATGGGAGATGATAAAAACGTTGACTAAAGCGAGAATTTGCTTCATTTCACACAACAGACGTCACAAATTCTTGTTGGATATGAAGGAAGAGAAGGAGCAAATTGTTGCTTGTATCGTTCGAAGTATAGACATGTATTTGTGTGCGTAGCATTTAATGCAATTTTTTCATTTCATTTTGTTGTATTGTCTTCTTCTTCAATTTTAAGACAGACAAGGACTGTCGATGCAGTTACTGCAGCATCAACAATAAATAAAATATGTGTACGTGAGATATATGCGAAAGAAAAAAGTTCTTTGAAATGATCTTCCACTAATTAGCAATCTCAGAAAAAGACATTAATCTAAATATTAAGTCCAATTGTTAAAATTATTATTACTTAAGTGCATTTATTAAAATTGTATAATTCATGAATCACGCAGTTAGTCAAGCACATATTACTAAAACAATTAATTTCTTCTATATCAGTTATCTTTTATTTTCTTTTATATCAATTACATTGATAGCAAAATAAGTAATAGCAAAAAATATGCACATTTTTTGTTGGTATATGCAATTATTATGTAATACCGTTTGGTTATCAATTGTATTTCGTTATAGTCCAACAACTTCGCCAGCTTTACGGTAATCAGCATTACCAAATATTCCCGATTGATTTTTTACTATTGCGCAGACTACTGAGCCAAGTGCACTGTATCGATTCGTTTTATGGCCGATCAACTCCAGACCCGTGATTAGTTGCTGAAAATTTAAAATATTCAAGTGGAAATCCGTTCAAAATATTTAAAAACATCTCGAATTTGGTACCTGCGTATTTCCATATTCGTATTGTACTTCCATCGGTATAAGCTGATGATGTATTCGTGGTGCATCTACGGCTTCTTTGATATTTTGATCGAACCAAAGAGTTCTGGCAATAATCTACAAAATTGATGACAATTGGCGTTTTTTTTTTTTAATAGAAATGAAAACGATTTACCATTGCCATCGCGGTTATAATTTTCACACC